AGAGGGAGCTGTACTGTCTCAGTAACCTGGTTTTGCCATCAAAGGAGGAGGGGACAGGTGGTGACGAGCTGATTGGACTGGTTGACCCTTCGGCGCGAGAACTTTCAGACCAAGAACCCAAAGTGCGACGAGGGAGAAAGCGAGGAACCGACTGGGAAGGACAGCAACGAGAGCGTGTACGAAGCGGAGCGGGTCGAGTTTGGTCGTGCTAGGACTGGCCACAGCGGCACCGGAGCAACGGCACTGGAGCATGCGGACGGCATCGAACCGTGGCGCACGAACAAACATCTCTTGTGTTGTCAATTATTTCTCCGTTTTTTTCCTGAATATGGGTTGGGTGTGTGTGCTTGTTTGTGTGTGTTTTTATTATTAGCATCGACCGCGCTAACCGGCTGACCAATGAAAAGACGTCAGTCTTAGTGCGGTTGAAAACACAAAACACTTCTATCTACCATGAACTGGGACCCCGTGAGGGGGCAGCATGGGGGAGGCTAAACTATCCTTCGGATTAAAAACAGAAACAGCAGCAACAGACGAAAAATGCACGCGTCTACCAAGGCTATTACCTAGTACTCGAGTTCGTTTAAAAGTTTTTTCACCAGTGTCCTCCTTGTTTTCGCTACCATCATTCTGATCCTCATTTCGACAAGAAGAATCTCTGGGCAGTTCTTCCCTAGCCCTACGTTTCTTGTTGTGGGGAAGGTCATCTGGCTCAAACCCTTTGCTCTCTTCCACTCCTCCATGTTTTCCTGCTCCATCGTCGTCTTCGTCCTCCTTTCTTCCCTTTCCCTTTCCTTCGTCTTCGTCACTCCCAAAAGAATTACTCTCACTACTATCGTTGTCGCAGAGATCCCAACCGATTGGCCCTGGTGGAAGTTGGTCGATCAGTAGCCCATGACGTTTGAACACATCGCGAGTTCGCATCGACAGAAAACGAGCTAGCTCGAAGGTAAACCGTCTCCGAATCCTGTTAGTATGAAAAGCTTTCAGGCGAACTAAGGCCCTCTCGTCGTCAAAATTTCCCCGGCAAAAAGCTTCGTGCGCCAAGTGGTTGGCGATAGCAACGATGAGTCGATTGGTGCCTTTGCCAAGACCACCATTCGTTGAAAAAGCAGCAGTAAGGAGGGTAGATCTAGACGGGTTGAAAGTTCCCGCATTGCATAGTGATTTGCCTTACTTGCAGCTCGATCTTCGAGGGCGGATCCTGGCTTAAGGATCGACTTGTCGATGCTTCGACCTGCTGATGGGTTGACGATTGTTACGTCGATCAGAATGGACTTGGTGCAGAGGTCCTCTTCCTTCTCTCCTGCGTGTAATCCTGGGGGGATTACCAAATTAGCATCGACCGCGCTCTAACGGGCTGGTTTTGTAGAGAGACGCGGCAGAGATGGCGCGGATAACCCGGGTGCCTTAATTGTGTACCTGCATCGTGGAAGACCACTTCAATGTGGAACGATTCCTAGTCAGTGTCGATGTTTACACTGCTGTGCCTAACACAGATGATCTGGATAGATTCGGGTGATTGTCAATTGCAAATATGGCTTTGGTTGGGTGTTCTTCTTCATGTCCACAGACTCATTCTGACAGCACTTCAGACAGCACAGCTGCATGCCCCGAGCTTGTGTACCATGCACCAGGTGTTATTATTGTACAGACAGCACTTCAGACAGCAGTACGCTGTAGTCGACAAACATTCATTTTGGTTCAATGCGAGACAAGGGGGGTGATGCTGCTGCTGTAGTAGTCGAATTGAGTTTGTGGGCGTGTAGTTCATTCAGTTGTGAACACGCAAACAAACGTGCTCCAGGGATTGTAGGTGTACCTCCTTGTTGGTTGGGCTTGTTTACCCTTTTCTTGCTAATAGTGTGTGTTCTTTACACGTAGATCTTCTGATGACTCTGGCATTTTTGTGGCCACGGACCGAGTCTTATCTAGATTTTGGGATTAGCAACTGACACGAGTTTAATGTGAAGAAAAACAACAACAACAACAACAACAACAACAACACTACAATTTCAGACACACAGAAAGACTACCCGTTCGAGATATACCCACATTCGAACGGGATGTGGTGGAGTCTTTCAGTGAGTGGAGGAAAAACCGGCTGGGTACTGGACTTATTTCGAGTCTGTCTACAATACACTGATGATTTATATCAGTTGTTGTTGTTGTTGTTGTTTCTCACATTAATTAGCTCTTATGGTCCACAAAAAATGGGGAGCCCGTGGTCTCAAAACCCGGCACATACATACGACGCCGCGGGGAAACAAAACAAGAAATAGGGTACAAACCACTCCCAAAGAGAAAACAAAATGATAGAAAGAAAAGAGCAGGTATCGCACCGACCGTTCGAGAAAAGAGCCCTCGGAAACCGATCAAAATAAAACAAAACTCAGTGATACCAGCTGATTCTACATAAAAGAACATCTGTAAAGGTGACCTACATTTTTCCACATTACATCATCCCCTGGAGACTAGTTCTCCACTGTGTCAACGACAAAAACACTGCTTTGCTGTGAAGACGTGATACACATACACCCCAATGCAGTACTACTGCTGTATCTCGAACGGGCACAAACTGACTGCTCTTTTTATATTATTTCCTAACATAAAACCCAGCGAATTCACGAATCCATCTCGAGGAAAAGAGAGTCCAAGATAGATTAGCGATGAATCCATAGCGTCAGCGAAATCTACCTGTATTTCCACGATTTCCCGAGCAGCACACAGCGATATCTTCCCCATGGGCAACAGCAGTGCACTGCTGTCATTGAGAGGACAGAAAAACAACTACAGATATATGTAAGAGCGGCAACGCAACTGGCGAAAATTCAAGGGGTGCTAAAAAGACTACGGGGTGTATTGTTATCTATCCGGTTGGAACCCACGTAATCTCATTGGTCAATGCCGGTTTTTCGAACTCCATGTACGCATCCAATGTTCTACAATCACTGGCCGCAGCTGCCACGTACCGTCTGTGCATCTGCGGGGGGAGGTGTTTGCCACAAGGCAACGTGCAGAATTGTCGCGATGTCTATTCTGTCGGACTTACGCCTACTGTAGCGGGAAAAAAAAGAGCGAAAACAGCAGTAGTAGTAGATGCCTGCTGTACTCTTTGGCTTCCCGTGCACGCCAACGCTTCGGTAAATGTGGGCTGGCCGCGGGGTTCCTACCAACGGCACAAGCGGCACACATGAGTCCTAAATGTGAAAGCGAACAGGTTAAACAAATGACGGAGGGTTCTGGGGGAGAGACGCGCAGGCCGAAAATAAAATAGACAAATTTCACGGGCTGACAACTTAAGCGGATGCGCCCAAGGGTTTTAGTACTGAAACGATAAAATCCCGCGCGCGATGCACCTACCCTCGTGCCAACATCGCTCATCTGAAGAAGCCATGCTGAATAGACATCTATAATCTGCAACTACCTTCACTTTTTTCAGGGAGACAGACGGCTTGAAAACAAGCGTGACAAACACTTCGTGGACCACGCAGCAACGTGCGGGTTTGTTGGTTCCTTGTGGTGGAAAAAACCCGATGCGCAAAGGCCCTGCCAGGGAAGTAAGGGCCTAAATCCCGACGCCGCACCA